AAAGATAATGAGGGTGTTAGAAGAAGATCATGGCTTATCAGTGGCGACTGGGCTAACATATTGTGTGTGCTTCTGCTTTTACCTTCTCATGAAGAGCAGGCTGGGAGTAGCAGGAGATTCATGGAGGTGACTCACAGCTGCACAAGTGAATACTAAACAACAGCAGTGGCTTCTTGGAGGAACAGTAATATATATGTTTCTGCTTAAACCTTAACTGGCAGGCTTCCTGGCAGGGCTCCTGGGAGTGATGCCCTAATTTGCAAGGATTTAATGACTTCTTGTAGTCTAACACCTGTAGGGATGGAGACAAGCAGGGGAGAAAATTAGCATCTGGCTGTGCCCCAGATAAAATGAGCACCATGGATTTGTGAAGGTACCGTTTTTCCTTTCCAGGAAAAAAATTCCTTGTGTTATATTTATTCAATAACTGTTACTGTAATATTAAGATTCCCAGTGTTCTTACATGAAAATATTTAAAATTATATTCCCAAACTAAGAAAAAAATCATGCTATCTACTACAGAAGGTCACTGCCTTCCTCCTCTCCTGTGTATATTATGATGGGGCTAGCAAGTTATAAATTAAACCTGAAAACAGTAGTATTTCTGTAGTTCTGATAAAATTTTCATTCGTTTTTTTTTTTTTTCTCCGAACATATTATTCCAGGAACTGATGACATTGTGAAAGCAAGCTGTCCCCATGGCTTTTACACACTAATTTGTGAGATCTGAATTTCCTCTTTATCTTCATGTCTTCTTATTTCACAGGCAACAACAGTTTGAATAATTTAAATAGTCAGATACATGCAAGCATTACTCAGAACTGTGAGGACCTGACTTTGAAAGTAACTCAGTATTTTCAGATCAGGATAAGAGTTTTCAGTTTGTATAATTTCCCCATGTCTTTTGATATAGTTACATACTAACTATAATAATAGTATCGCAGCAACAACAGTATGAATCTACAGTCTCATCTTATTTCTAATCCAGAGTTTTTATCCAGATAATTAAAACAAATACTTGAAAGCAGGAAAATGGAAGCATAAAAATGTGAACATCTTCAAATTACATAAAGGAAAGTCAAATGAACGTGATTGCATTCCTACCATTGATCACAAAATAATCACAGCCTATCATGAGAGAAAATAAAACAGAAAAGTATAAATAGTAAAAATTATAAAAGAAGAAAACAACAGAAGACAGTAATCTATAAATTATAACAGTTCAAAATAAAAAGATTTAGATTATGTGAAGAAAAGTTAAACTACACATGAATCATAAATTATAAAATGTTAAAAGTAACACTAAAATGAGAGAATGATTTAAAGCAAAAGTTATTGAATGATACAAAAAGTCCATTTGTACTGAGACTGGTAGCCTCATCAATGAAGAATATGAACATCATGAACACTAAGTAACAAATCCCCAAAATATATAAGCTAAAAACTGTTATGAATTGATAAAAACACAATTATGGCAAAATATTTTTGCACACATTCTGTCTCTGATAAATTAAATATGCTTTTATGCATATATATGTGTATATAAGCAGGAATATAGAATTCCAATTATTATATATAGAAATATATATTATATATACTTGCATATATACTTTATATATTTATGTCCATATATATAATTTGATAAGGCAATACATGTTCATTTTAGGTATCTGTGAAATTTGTACAAGAACTGATCACATACAAAACCCCAAGGGAACCTCAATGCAGTTCAAAAAGTAAAAATTTTGTAGGTAAAATTATCTGAGCAGTACATATTAGTTAAAAATAATTGAAATAAAACAAGTTTGTTTCAAAAAAGGAAAGCGACAACTACAAATAGCAATGAGAAATTAAAATAAACTTTGATGGAAAAGTGAGTATAAACTGTCAATATAAAGGAAAGGAAGGCATTAAGAGAGGGATTAAATTTTTTTTTAAAAGAAAAAGCTAAAAACTAGCCCAATAAAATTTAAGTTTGAAAGCAATAAATTAAAAAGCAAAGAAAATCAAGATGAAAAATCTAATCATAAACATAAAATTAAAAATGAGAACTAAAGAAATAGAAAGGTAAAATATGTAAATTATAGGCACAAATAGGAAACAAAAATATTATTAAAGAAAATGAGTATCAACAGGAAGGTTTATGAAAGAGATGAGCAAACAGGGAGAAAAGTTCCCAAAGTAGAAAAGGAATGAAAATTAATCAGGAAAATCTAAAGCCTTGAAATGGAAAGGATGTGATGAAGAGCTAAAAAATGGAAAAACAATAGAAACATGGACTTAAAGGAAAATTTTAAATTTAAGAGCAGACTGGTTCCATTAAATTTACCAACTAAGCTAACACGGATTCCTCTTTAAGCTTTAAACAGGGAGAAATACTGGAAAAAAATAAGCCAAAATAGGTTTAAAAACATAGCTGAGCTCAAAAGAGAAGAGAGCACAACTCCAGGTGCTCAGACACAGAAGTAGCTCAGGCAGAAGGCTACGGAGGTGAGAACCTGGGGTTCTTTGAAAAGTTCATGGTCTAGTGTCCTAAGAAGCGCCATGTGTCATGGAGAAGTATGTAGAAAGTTGGTTGGGAACACATCAAGGGGAGCAAAGGAACCAGCGTGGGTAGAGGGAAATAGCAAACTGGGGTGCTTTGCAAGAAAGTCCTCAGCTGATCCTACAGGATGCTTTGATGCTAAAACGATCCTTCAGAGTTATCTCTAGTCAAAAGCCCTGGCCTCCACCTCCACAGCAACATCATTAGATGGCCCCAAAGATGGCATGACCTTGGTGGAAGTGTCTTTCTAATTAAGGGCAAGTCTTCAAGAGAAACTCAGCTGAGAGCTATCAGTCAGCAGCCAACACTCGCAACATCTTGAAGAATGAACACTTCCGTCCTGGGCCAGGTGGGCTGGTTCTACAGAGATAGATATACTTTTCTTTGATTACACAGATGACAATTTTTTTCCCCACAATTCCTTTAGCTGCTTCTAGGTAAGTTTGACAATCTCAAATATTTCTTTCTTTCCAGATTGCTGGGATAATACAACAAAGTGGTCTACTGTCCTATCTCAAACAGGCATACAGAGACTTCTAAATAGATACTTATTAGATACAAATATATTAATTTCAGTGTTATTTATATTAGTGGCAACATTGAAAATGACTAAAATGACGAAAAGTATGGAAATGGCAAAATTACATGCAGGTATTAAAATTGCATTTTAAAAGAATAGTTATTCAGATATTAATATATGTATTTCCACTGCATAGATTATATGATTCCAATTTCCTAAGAAGATTCATTATTTAAAATTTTATGATAATTGCTGATGCATAAAAAGTATGGAAAGAGATTGATCAAAATAATCTTGGAGTTTGGCTCTATAATGTATGGATTTCTAACTACCTAGTATTTTCCATATTATCTAAGATGATGTATTACTTTACAATCATAAAAAATTAACATGTTATAAAAAATAAAAATATATGTTGGATTATTTTATACTCCATTAATTTGCAAATTTATATTTTATATTAAAACTGATCTGTGAGAGTAAAACCATATTATACTGAAAGTAGGTTTTTAATATTTTCAACATTTTTTTCAATCTTATTTTCAACACTATTTCCAGGGTGAATGGGAAGAGAAGCGAACCTTATGTTTCTAGGTCCTTTTCTTATCTGAGGTTTTTCTTGGAAGATAAAAGCCCACAAACTCTTTCACTCTCTCTCTCTCTCTCTCTCTCTCTCTCTGTGTGTGTGTGTGTGTGTGTGTGTGTGTGTGTGTATGTGTGTGCATGCGCACTGTATGCATGGCATGTGTTTGTGTGTTTGGCTTTCACTGTCATTTGGAGCCTTTCCTGTGCCTACTTCAGTTTTTTTTTAAAAGTTGAGTTCCCTTGCCTCTGATTCCCATTAGATAGAGGGACATGGTCAAATGACACTTTCCTAAGGTTACAAATCTCACCCATAAGCAAGAAAGGAATATATAATTCCTACTTCCACAGAACAAAAAAAAATAATGTATTAGCCCATTCTCAGACTGCTAATAAAGACATACCAAAGACTGGGTAATTTATAAAGGAAAGAGGTTTAATTGACTCACAGTTCAGCAGAAGGGGAAGCAAACACATCCTTCTTCACTTGGTGGCAGCAAAAAGTGCAGAGTGAAGCCAGAGAAAAGCCCCTTATAAAACCATCAGATCTCATGAGAACTAATTCACTATTACGAGAACAACATGGGGGAAACTGCCTTCATGATATTCAATTATCTCCACCTGGTCTCTCCCACAACCTGTGGGGATTATGAGAACTACAATTCAAGATGAGATTTGGGTGGGGACACAGCTGAACCATATCAAGTAAGTTGCATTGTTCAACAAATTTTTGAATGAATGAGCTTTTTCCTGTACTAAAAATTTCTCCTTTGCTTATATTATAGGAACTAGTTATTTAAAAACAAAATCTCACACTGGAGAAATACACATTAACATTCTAGAGAGGCCCATGTTACTGCTTGTGATTTTCTTCTGCTGTTTTTTCTCTTCCCCTCTCCCCTCCTCCTTTCCTTTTCTTTTTCTTTTAGACTGAATTCCCAGATCCTTTGCTCCAATCCTTGTTTCTCTTCCACTACTGTTTCTCAAATCTGTACCTCATCCCTTCATCTCCAGGAGGCTTTTTCACATTTCACAGTGGATTTCAATGTGCTGGGGTGGGCAGGGAGGTGGAGAGTTACTGAGAACCACGGTTTTAGAAGCTTATGTTTTTGAGAGTTTATGAAATCCTATGGCCTCAGTGGCTCTACATTGTTTGAACCTGTATTTTCTTTGTCTTTTATGGATTTTCATGTTTCATATCCAATAACCACATTTGCATCCAAAGCATGGATTTCCTGAGTTTGACAAAGCTGATCCTATGGACTCCATTTCCATAAATCCCTTAAAGAGTTGAAGTGATTTCGCTCATTTTGCAAAAATGTCTCCGACAGAAACACAGGGGAAAACAATTGCTCTTGACATCACAACAGTTTAATATTTTAACTTATTCATTAAATTGTGCTTCACATCAATGGAAATCCTCAGTTCTACAAACTATCATTTTTAAATAGCAATAAAGGTTGATAATGTCACAATACAATCCCCTAGTAACTGAGTTCATACATATTATTGTACAGAAATAAAAGGAAATATCTCTTAGGAGAAATAATTTACTATCTATTGAATAACTATCTTTACATCTAAAATGGGTCACCACATAAAGATCCAGATTTTTCTTTCCAACACTGAGATGATACATTAAAAGAGAAATAATGCAATCAAAGCTCCAGAAGTGCTTCTGGGAAAGAATAAAAGGCAAGGGGAAAAAAGATGATCTCACGACTAACAAAAAAATGTAAAGGAGGTGGAAAACAAATGTGACAATTATCGAAGTACACTAAACTTTTGCTCCTCAGAACACTGGTTTTTCTGGCAGGATGTCAATCTGGCCCTTTAATGAGTTCCCGTAGTGCAGCAGAATGTGTAGCTCACAGAGGTTCCACTGAGTGTGCCAAAGGATGACAGTTGCAATCCTTTCCACAGACATCTTGGAACACAGGCTCAAGAGACACCTGTCCATCCGCGTTCTCGGATCTGGAGTACTGCTATGTTAGCATGAGTCCTTGCCAAGAAGTTCAAGGGCTTTTGTCTTGCAGATGTTGCTGGTGTTTATAGCTAGGCCAGACCTCTGGAAATTTCTGTGCCTCTGCCAGGCAGGTTGTTTCTTTCACATGCTATGAAGATGGGTTCATGTGCACTCCATCAATTCATTAGGCTACAAAACACACAGGTTTCAGAACCTGCCCACTTGCTCAGAAGGGCTAAGTTGAAGTCTCAAGGAATCAGTTCAGACGTGTCCAGGTGAATGTGGTGAGAAGAGAAGAGAGCAGGCATTGGCTTATTTCGGGTGGAGACAGTGGAAGAGGAGAAGAAGGCAGGCCAAAAGTGCCTTGGAGAAAGAACCCTCGCATGCTTCCCAGATGGCACAAAATGGGTAGAATCATCAGACCCAGCCAGCCCTAATACCCTGCCTGAATACATGCAGTTGTTCGGGTGACCAATGGGAGCACAGCAACTATGGGAAAGGTAAATCTTGAGTCACAGTTGCAATCAGATCAGGATATTCTTTTGTAAGTCCAAACTAGCTTTCTTTTTGATCTGATCCTTCCAACCCAGCTTTTAGTTCCTACAATTCCAGTGCTCTGGTCCTGTCTCAATATCCTCTTCACTCGTTTCTTTTAAATGGCTAAAAGAATTATAGTCCATATGTTTCCAGGCTGCCCTAGTTCTAGAGGACAGAAACTGTATCTTAGTCATTTTTCTATTTTTCAGTATTGCATGGCATATATTTAATTCGTCATCTTTCCACCTGGGAAAGATCTGCCTCCTTTTAGGAGCCACACTTTCCTCTAGAGTTACTCCTGCTCTCCCTAAACCCCATCTCTAAATGATCCCATTATACAGGACCTCAGATAGAGGTCATGGTTGATAAGGAATCAGATAAACTCTCTGTGTGCAGATATTAGCTTAGGACAACTGAAAGCATTTCCTCTCTCCAGCGAGTATGTAAAGGGACTCATTTAATTACAAATAAAACCTTTAAGAATGAAAGCAGTGTGTTGCTGACAAAGTACCAGAGGCCTGGGGAAGAAGACATAAAAAAAGGGAGGGGGTATACTGATTTCTCTTAATAAGGAGCACATTCCCTCTGCCTTCATGCTGAATAGGTTTTTGAGTTAGGTGGAGTGGATGCCCAGCTAGAAGTACTTGAATGCGTCCTCTGAGTTTTGGTCTCCCCTGCAACACCACCCATCTTGGATATTTCATTCCTAATAAGAGACCCCCCTCACTAGAGGCAGGGAGCTGAGGGTAAACTTGGCCAGTATCTCTGGCATTTTCCAAGTCAAAAAAGGTAAGGAATGATATAAATCAATAAACATTTAGATTTCATATTCTTGCAATTCCCAATCCCAATACTGATGCTGAGCTGCATAAAGTAGCAGGAAAGGCTATGAAGTCAAAATACTGGGGGTCTAAGCAACTTTCTTGATCATAAATTAGAGTCACTGGGAAATCTCTCAACATCTCCGACTCTCCACCCCAAACTAGCAAGTGGCATAATGAACAGAGGTCCTATTTAGCACACAAGATTGTAATGAGGACCAAAGGAGACAGCAAATGCAAAAGTCTTTTGAAAAACATTAAATGCTACACAAAGTGATGAATTTTAGTTTTTATCTCTTGCAAAACGTATGATGAAGTAAGTGACATTAAAAAACACTTGAAATATTGTTTGGTTCCCTTTTGTGTCAGATACTGATAGTATTTATTGGTATTCATTTCCACATTGTTTCTTTAATAACAGAATCCCCACACTTATCAAGGCACGTGACAATCAATAATAAAGACATTCCCTAGCCTTATTTGCAGCTAGATGTGGCAAATGTCTCAGTTCTAACCCATGAGATGTGACTGGAAGCAATATGTGCAATTCCCTCTACTTCCTCTCTACTATCTTAAATGTAAACATGATGGCAGGAGCTGCAGCAGCCATCTTGGTCCATGAGGGGGATGCAGCACAGTAGGATGACAGAGCAACAGGAGGGGGCCTAGGCTTCTGGTAATGTCACACACCAGAGCTGTCAAACCAGTTTGTCTTTAAGTAAGAGAGAAATAGCTTCCAAGTTAAGTCACTATTTTGAATTTCTGTGTTAAAACAGCTGAATGGGAATTCTATACAATCCATTTATATTTATTTTTTAATGATCTATTCTTATCTCCTCGCTAGGTCTATCTTGGGGACTTTCTTGCCAACATTAGTAATATCCTTGCTCAGATTTTTGAAAAAACTACCTTAAAGGCATAACAGAGTCCTCATACTTCAAATTTTTGATCAAACTAATTATAACAAAGTTACCTTTTTAGATGAGATGTCTTTATCATTTTTAATAAAATTACATGATCTCCCTCTCTGTTATCTAACACTGATTGTTAATGTTACCAATTATTATAAGCGTTCTAATAATTCTTAGGGAAGTTTCATCCAGTTTCCAAGAGTAGGCTGCCTAAAAGCTAGAAGGAGACAGAATAGATAAGTGTGTATCTTAGTCCTTAATAAAACACACACACGTGCACATATACACAAAGATGTCTCATCTCAATCTCCAGTCTGGGTAGTGGAGCTGTCATTGCCAAGAGAAGGGAAAGAACTGCAGGAGTCAATAGGATGTAGAACTCTTGGGGACTGTTTTTTTCTTTTTTGGCTTTTCTTGGGCTTTTGACACTGATGTATCTGGAGTTGATTTGGTTTGGGACTTAACACTCCTGACTTCCATGGATCCTTGGGCCCAGACGCCTTCTGCTGGCATCACTTCCCTGAGCATGATTCAGCATGGAAGTGGGCAGCCAATTTTTGGAGAATAAACTGCATTCCTACCTCTCCATTTCTATCAACATAGGACCCCATGGGTCTGACGAGCTTGCTGCTTTAGAAGGAAATTATATGAGGGAGGAAGCCCATGTGGGTCTTTTTAATTTGCTCAGCACTGGCCTGGGGCCAACATAAAGAGCTGTCTCCCTCTGAACATCCTGATACCTGGTCTCAAGTGGAGCCCCATACATCATGCCTTCAGTAGAAGGCAGCAGAAGCCTTTGATACCAATCCCGAGGTGCACAAGGAACAGTGTGAAGTGAGCAGGGGCTGCCTCCAAGTCTCAGCTATGCATGAATTCCTTGCCAAAATTTTAAAGTGAGTTTAAAAGAAACAATCCGAATGCTTTATAACTCGTTTTGATTTTCCACATGACAAAACACTGGATTGTCATTGTGTGTGTGTGCATGCATGTGCACGCATGCACGTGTGTTTGTGTATGTCACAAGCACAGGCACAAGCATAATTTGCAGTCCTGCTGTTCTAAGCAGAACATTAGATCCTAACAATGAAATGAGAAGCCAGAGACAGCCGCTCATTAATCCCAGCTGCAACCCTCCTTCACTTCTTGCCTTAGGAACAAATCATTGAAAATGGAGAAATATTTTGTGAGCCTAATCTCTACCAAGTAACAAGCAATATTTACTTGGCCTCTTTTAATTCACCCTTGCATAAAACACAGCTTTCTAAAAGAATCATCAATCTCTCAGCTCATTGATGGCTCAGTGATGTGGAGAGGGCTGGACTGACCCAAGGCAGCATGGCTCTGGGTCACTGTTAGCTTGGCGCTGTCACAGTTGGGCTGCCCACATGGGTTAGAGACAGATGCTTCTGGGAAATTGCAGCTGGCTTCTTGCATCATTGGCAGGAAGCTTTAGGCAGGACGAGCCCTTATTCCATATGGATATGGTGATGGAGTAAAGAGAACTTGGCCTTTGCAGTCAACTAGACCTAGCTTACAACCCGTGGAGGAGCTACTTATTTTCTGTGGGTTTTACTTTTCTCATCTAAGGAATGGAGCTTAACAATATTCATTCATTGTGCAGAATATATTCAAGGTATGAAAAGGGCCTCCCCCAGTTCCTGGAACAAGGGAGCCACCCAATAACGCCTTCCCTTGCACCCCAGATGAAGCCAAGCACAGTGAGAGAAGCATCTCCAGGTGTCTGTCTGGTGGAGCCGCTGGACTCCCCTCTGTGCAGGTAAGCACTCCATGAATGCTTGTGGGCTGATTGACTCAACCCCAGAGAGAGTATTCTGGAGGCTGAGAAGTGGCTTAGATAAAGCTGGCTTAAACATCAAACATGTTGGATATCAATGAAATAGGCTTTTCAATCTGATTTAGGGGTTTCACACGTTTTGCCTTCAGCTCCTTGAAGGGATTGATCAGATCACTCCGTTGTGAAACTTCCCACTCATTCTGATCCTCCTAATAAATGCCAGACAAAGGCTTTCTCTTCTTTCTTCCATACATATCCCCTTATTATTCAATAAAATTCTTGTTACTGCAGTTGGGATTGTGAACAGGTGAAAATAAGAACTTGGCAATGCAGCACACTTCTTTCCAGTTTTAGACAGTCTGGCCTGATTTACTGGCTGTGGCCACAGTCCACAACAGGTAAAGACGGTGTGGGAAGAAAACAGTGATGAGGCTGGAGATAGTCAAGATGCTGGGAGGCAGAGTCTGTCTAAATGCCTGGGATAACCAGCCCAGGAATGGTATTCCATGTCTCCTGGCCTAATTCAGAGTTCTTCATTTAGTGACCTCAGATATATTTTTGAGCTAAGCTCCTATTCTTTGGGCCAAGGTTTTAAAAAACATCTTTCTCTCTGTGGTGGCAAAATTTCAAGACTGGTAGTACCCCATTAAAGAAGATATCTTCTCCATGAAGGTTAAACTTTGCAATATTTCATTTAAAATCTAAGGTTATGTAGCCAGTTTAGAAATGCTAGGCATATATATTGATCTTCCTGATATTTTTTTCTCTCTCAATTTATCATTCATTCCTCACATTGAAAGTAACATTGGTAAAGTGAGACCCCTTTAGGCATTAGCAAATAAGCAAGGTTTCTCTTAAATGCTCCTACCAATGTTCATTTCTCAGGGGCCACAACCTCACCTGTCCTGGATCCACTCCCCATTCCCTAAAAGATGGAAGGAAAAGCATGGCTTAAGGTCCGGATTTTGCAGGATGTGGGCCTCTAGCTATAGTCGTTAATAGGATAATTTGGTTTCAAAACAACTGCAACAACAAAACACATTACTTGTGATTTAAGTCACATTCAAATAGAGTTCAAAGATGCTAGCCAACAGCCTAGTGGGGGTTGGCATAAGACCTCATCTAAGAGCTGAAATGTTTTTCTTTTTCTCTCTCTTTATGCAGACTGGTATTCCCATTATGGGAGACAGTATGACATAGACCAGTTTCAGCAGAACATCCAAGCCATAATTTGGCTTATCATGTGTGCCTCTGTGGGTCCTGGTGCCCAAACTATTCTATGCTCCTTCAAGGGAGATGAAAAGAACTGTCGTCTCCTTTTGGTGCTGCTCTCCTTGGCCTTCAAAATGATCTATATGGGATGCACTCCTACCCTACTTAATATCACCAACTGCAAAACGTCAAAAAAAAAAAAAAAAAAAAAAAGAAAAAGATAGGTAATCTCCAGCTGGATAAAAATGAAGACAAGGAAGCAGATGTCCACATCAAATACACACAGCCAGATGTCCTCAGAACGGCCCAGCTTCTCCATGGTAACTCAACAGAAGGCCAGTGTGCCTGCTCATCCTCCCCCTCCTGAGAGAGGAGAGGGCAGGGGGTCACCATCTCACCACCTGGCTGTTGTAGTCCTCGGTGACAGTCCCCTCTGCGGCCCCATCCTCTTTGGGCCACTGGTGGACCCTGTGCTCCCGCTGCAGCCTCCGCTCCTCCCGCCGCTTCTGGCGGTCCCTCTGGTGCTCTAGCTGCTTGGTGTGGTGGTAGCGCTGCTGGAAGAGATCTTTCGCATACTCGTAAAGCTTCATGTCCAGGAAGTTTAGTTCCTCAATGCGTTGGCGGGCACCCTCATTGATCTCCACGTTAGAAGCCCGCGTGATGTTGAACTGCGTGAAGGGGGAGATGAACTTGAGGTTGAATGTTCTCTCAAAGAGAAACTGTGTCTTCCTCTGGAACTCTGTAAGCCCAAAGAAGGCCATGTTCTTCAGGTTGTTCTTTGCACTCTGCAACAGGATGGTGTTTCTTTCACTTTCGTTCATGAAAGTCAAGTTGTAGCAGCCCACCAAGCTGAGGTCAGCCAGCATGCGCACCTGGCGATTGTTAGCCAGATTGTAGCTGCAATCCATAAACTCCCGCAAGCTGACCCCAGACCAGTCATCCCCAGGGTAGCAGGTAGGCAGCTCATCAGGGGTGGGGCTTCTTCCATCACACATGTGAAGAGAGGTTTTCCACGTGGCCCCTCTCTGGACGTGTTTCCACTCACTCAGGTAACGTGACACTGGGTCCCGTAACATTGTGATGTAATAGAAATTCCTAGAAGAAATTAGAGGAAGACGGTCAGTAGTTGACAACTCTAACAGGAGGGATCTTAACTTCTATAATTTTACATCAGCACTGAGTCAAGGGACTCTTTTGCCAAATGTCCATGTGAGAGTATTTGCCTGCTTTTGTGCCTACTGATGTATGAATATGTTTCCATAAGATATATGCACCAGTGTTCAATAGTTTATTGAGCTTTTCCTCCTTGCTCCAGTGTGGGGAGGGATGGGGTGGAAAGAATAGATAGTTCATTTCTTCATTCATTCAGCAATTATTCACTGATAGATTACTACTGGCAATAACGATACCTTACACTTAGAGAAAACACCATGATTTTTAAAAGTTATTACCCATCTGTTTCATTTGATCCTTATAGCAAACCTTTGTGGTAGATGGGGTTCTACATGATAGGGTTACATGAAGGAGGTAAAGTGATTTACCCAAGGTCATGGTACTAGAAAGAAGAAGGCCGAACCTGTATTCTCCTTAATCTTTCTCTTTTTTATTTTTCTGAGAGGGAGTCTTGCTCTGTCATCCAGGCTGGAGTGCAATGGCACAATCATGGCTCGTGGCAACCCCTGCCTCCCAGGTTCAAGCAATTCTCATGCCTCAGCCTCCTGTGTAGCTGTGATTACAGGTGCCTGACACCACACCCAGCTAATTTTTGTATATTTAATAGAGATGGGGTTTCACGATGTTGGCTAGGCTGGTCTCGAACTCCTAACCTCAAGTGATCTACCCACCTCAGACTCCCAAAGTGCTGGGATCACAGGTGTGAGCCAGTGTGCCTGCCGGCCTCCTTAATCTCTTTATATTGCTTTTTGGGATTATAAGGTAGGTGCGTTGAGGAAGGATGGGTTGGGTGTGAAGACAAATATTTATCGGACTCGTACAATGTGTTAGGAACTGTGCTACATGCTTTATGGATGCTTGCACAGATGATCCTCAAGACAACTTTGTAAAATGGGTTTTATCATTACTTTTTAAAATAAAAGCTGAAGCCACAGAGGTTCAGAAAGGTGAAAAATACAGCCACAAACCCTGGAGCATGTTAATACCTGACCTGCAATCTAAGTTAGGCCTATTTGATTTCAAAGCTCCCATGCTTTCCTGTGCATCACATTAGTATTTAAATTATAATTTCTATGTATTGAGCACCTATTAATTTTAGGTTCTGTGGTTATTACAATCACAGATCTCAACTAATGCCACCTAATGGATTACTGAAACGAAACCTATTATTAAATGGTTCTCTTTAGAATAATCACATAGAGATTAGGATACCTGTGGTTTAAAAGGACAAGGGAAGTGCAAAGAGGCAGGAAGAGAGATGGAGAAGTTGAGAAATGAGAGAGAAACAGTAGACATTACAGGAAAGTAAATATTGGTTCAAAATAAGGAAAATCCTTTCCATGAATTCAGAAGCCTACCAATGGAATGGTATGTGAAATAAGCTGCCCAAAGTTATCTTGGTAGTAAGTTATAGAACTTGGATTAATCTGGTCTGATTTACTTAAAAAATAGTCACTACATTATATTAAAAGAAAACCTCCTATTTTGTAGGAAAAACTCAACCTAGTATGTGTGTAACTTGGCCAAGCTAAACTGAATTTAAAAAAAAATGCATACCAACTAAAAGCAACTTTTAAAAAATGAGAAATGTAAGGGTACAATGTTATTCTGCTTTTCAAGAGGAACTGATGAGCTACAATATTGGAAACTATACGTTTTCTATATTCTATTATCTTGACTGTCTGGCCTTACCCTTAGGTAAGCCAGGCCGTTTCGAAATGTGCTAAAGAAACTCCAAAATCTTTAAGTAACATTCACTTTCCTTTAAATCAGGAGGTGAAATTTATTGAAACTGCCAAGAACAGAACAGTCTGAGCTCTTGATTTTGCCAATCACCATTTTCCATGACTCTGTTGTCTTTCGCTGTGACAGAATGACAATTTCATCAGTGTCAGAAAATTTCCCAAAAGGTCAGCAGGGAAAGCAGAAAATGAGTGACACAGCTTCTGGGCTTCGAGAGGAAATACTGATGATAAAGTTTTGCCCAGAGAGGATATTACTGTAGTTGAATATCGTATGGCATGTCATTATTAATCCTGCTTTAGTCCTATGTTGGGACTCGTTCATGTTTCAGGCTTTTGTCTCAGCTGAGAAAATTGGCCACGGACCTTCCAGTACCTTCATTCCACTGCAAATCTTCATTCCACATAACCTCAAAGCTGACAGAAACTGGTTTAGGCTTCAAATGGTTTTGGGTCCAAATTTAACTTTATTCAGTTTAACATTGCGTCAAACATGGACTAGCTAAATTGTAGGATGACACTTACATGAATAAAATAAGTCCTAAATGTTTTGAAGTTCTACCAGCCATGGGGGTCAATTGGAAACTAACTCTTTTCTGACATCAAAACATAGAGACGTCTTAGTGGAACATATTCATTGATGAAGTAGAATGTCATCCTATCTTACGGTTCTGAATCTGAGTGGCTAAAAGCATCTGGAAATTGCTTTAGACAGACATGCTTTCATGCACATTTTGTTTGTTTCCATCCTGCAAAGCAGACTAAATAGAAAGTTAGAAAGTAATAATAAACCAACAGGGTTGAAGGACACTCAAATATTGAAGAAAAAGAACAACAACAACTGAAAGTGAGATTAATTAAATCATTTTTCTCATATCAATTTTTTCTCTCTTTTCACTTGCTCCTCTACTTTCAGACAGAAAACTACTCAAGTCATTGTTAAAATGATGTCTGTCTCCAGGCCACATGTCCAACCTTCATCGTTGACAAGCTCTGCTTTGGTTTCATGAATCTCCTCCCCACTCACTTTCCCCTGCTCCCATAGCTCCCAGTTCAGTCTCTAATGAAAGTACTTAAAAGATCCGGTAATACTGAAATCTCCAACTTTATTTTTTAGGTCTTACTTGTTCAACAGCGCAATGGAGTTGGGAAATCATTTTTTAAGTGGGTAAAATGAAGACTAGAGAGGAAGAATGGGCAGCACCTGAGAGCTGTGTGGCCACAATACAGAAAACCTTCTGTTCCGTTTAATTCAATCTCCTACTCATAGACAATATCACTTGTTTGTATATTTTCCCTGACGGTTAACCTAAGCTCTTCCCACATAGTGACACAATAAAAAGCAAACTCCTATGCCCCCCACCTTCAATCCATCTGTTCATTCATCAATTTTCCAAACTTTAATTAAGCCCCATCTATTTGCCAAACACTTGGGACTAGGCACTGGGGACTCAAAGACTAATATGTCATTGTCCCCAAGGAGATTTTGGGCACCCAGTGATTTTGGTAAAGTGAAAGAAATGCTAACTACCAACTTAAGCGAATGTTACACCAATATCCCTGGACCAGAGCAGTCCCTCAGACAGATAGCTTTGTTTGCCTCGGTGACAGCATCTTGTCAGCATATCTTCCATTTGTCAACTACTCACTGAGAGTTTGTGTGAATGCATTTAAGAATGTCTGTAAAGCAACTGGAGCCCTTTAGAACTGCTGTTTGGTGGCCATGAGGGTAATGAGGGCTAATACTGAGAAAGATTAGGGAATGAGGTTAAGTCAATAATCATTTTAACTGGTAATTATCATATGGGCCATCAGGGCTTACTAAAGTTCCACCAAATAGAACACACAGATTTCCATAACGGTTTCAAACCGATTGTAGTATCTTGTTCTGCTGTAAGGTGATGAAGTTAAAAAAAAATCCTAAATACAACACGAAGGTATTACTGCCTTCTCTTACTTTGAAAGTCTTTCCCTTTCTTTGCTCTTTGGTATCCTGCTCATCTTCCCTGGTACAGCTCAAGGCTCACATCCATCTTCCTTGACTTTCCAGACTATCGAGTTTACTGTATCACCTACTGCACGTTTAATTTAAATGTAGCTGTCTTGGTCACATCTACCCTCTAAGTTCCTTTTTGATAACCCTACCTTAGGCCTCAGATCCCTAGCAAAAGTCCCAGCGCCTACTGCAAAGCCCTGCTCACAGCAGATGTTCAATAAATGATTGCTATGTAAAAGAAAATTATTACATGAAATAAGTATATTTTAATAACCAAGTCTAATATTGCCTTTGATAAATATGCCTTTATTTCCTCTCCTAAAACTAAAGTGATACATTTTTAAATGCCTAAAATGTGTGCAAAGATTGTCATTTGATTGTGATCATTAGTGATATGGAGAGAAACAGTCAACACAGACTCAGAGCAAAAAGGAGAATATTTTAAACAAGTAATTAGTAACAATGAGGTTTATTTATTTATTTTTAAAATTAAACTTACTGGGTTTCTTCCCTACTACTTCAAGAACCTATGTTTCACTGAGCAGTTTATTGTATAATTAGTTCTCTTCCTTAATTAGCAAGTCATTTAATTAACACATGCTTATTGAGGGTTTGCTATGTGTAAGGAACTGCTTCTGGAAATGTTGAGAACATAAAAAAAAGAAGAAGAAAATGCTCTCAAGTATTACTGCACAGGTGTGGTAGAGTAGAAAAACACATTCATTAGCAAGCTACAGAGGTCAGGAGTAGACAAAGAATACTTAAGAGAGCTGCTCTTCAAGAATGTACCTAGAGCAGAGTACCCTGACTTGACCAGGAAGCTCGTGTTTTGCTTTTCACTAAACGTTCATTTAACAAATGAATGAAATGCAAGGATGGTATAGACTGGAGCAGAATGTTGAGACCCAATTGCCATAGGCTCTGAATGTGATTGTGAATTGCTAAAATTGAAAGTGTTAATTTAGAAAGACTCATTCAGCAGTTGTGTGAATAGCTCTGTGTAAAGTAGGTAGAGACCACAGGAGACATTCAGCAGCCATGGTAAGAGACTGGCAGGGATAACCCCAGAATGTGGGTGTTGAAGAGAAAAAATCTGAGATAGATTCAGGAAGCGCCATGCACCCACCTGCCACTGCTCTCCCCCGCTTTCTGTGGTCAGCTTTCTCTACGCTACTTTTTCCTCT